GACCCATTTGTGTTCTGTTGTTTCTATATGTAGACTGATACAGTACTTAAATGAAGCGTACTGGACTCTTCATTCAGTGAAATCAGTCGAGCCACACACTCTGCTGCTGGTGGTGACACACTCTGAAAGAAGGCGATGCTTGTCAGGCTCTTATCAGAGCGTGTGCGTGAGATGACTGACCTCCTGCGTGACTTATGAGAATCATACAGAGACGTGAGCTGATGCAAACAGCAGCCGTTTTGGCACTTCTGTCCACGGCTGACCCTGCCTGGGGTCGAGTCGGTCCTGTGCGAGTGCCGTCTGTGTAGTGTGAGGCACGGTGAAGAGCCGTGGGAGGTGTTGAAGCTGTGATGTGGTGCGTCTCTGACTCATTGTCAGAGCGTGAAAATAGCCGAGTCAGATAATTCACTTCTTCCAGACATTCGGATTGTTGGATGCTTGCTGAAAGGATACCGATCACGGATCGCGGCACACGAAGGTAAAACCAAATGTAGTTTAGCCGATTGTGACCTTTTGTTTTTGTCTGGTGTTGTGTTTGCAGCTTGACCTTTTAAACTAGCAGCGTGTTCTAGTAAGTTGCACAGGTCAGAATGGCTTCCTAATGGCATTTTGTATTTTAAGGCACACTTTCGCACTCATAATTCATGGTTTAATGCCTAGTAATGCCCTTTTTAGGTATGATAGTGGGGTAAATGAGTGTAGAATGATACATAGTGTGTGTGGATCTGTGTTGGCAAGAAACGAAAGTTTTGAAACACCTCCATCCACCATGACACAACACCGCGACTCCCACTGCTGCTCATCTCCAATTCCCGCTTGATGTTTCTGCCTCATTGTAACCACAATCTGCGTTTGAAAAGGAAAAGTAAACGTTTGAAGTTTGCATAGTACTGTTTCCTGAGACGATCAGAACACGCAGATTAGAAGATCTGCATCAGGGCTTTCCAGTTGAAGAAGTCGAATATGTGTCAATGCTGCATGCTTGCGGCAAATATTCGTTTCTTAACTTCACTTACTTTAGAACGTGGGTCAGATTTGTTATCAAGTTTTAAAAATGCAGGAATTAATGTTTCAGACAATTTCGTCTTTCAGTAAAATGAGATGAGAGAAGAAAACACTGTAATGTTCTTATGCAATTTTCATTTAGTTAATAATTAGAACATTAAAAAATCATCCTGTTAATAATTAGAACAAAAAATATTAATATACTTTTTAAAAAAAACATTTTTGTTAAATCTGTTTATTGAACTTTTACAATAATAACAGGATACAGATACAGGAGAATCATTAAAAAATATTTTCCCCAATATAATATAAAAAAAAAAAAAACAGACTAAAGATACGGCACATTAATACATTAATAGTGAGCTAAAAATAAATAACACTAAAAAGTAGATCTACATGACGATGACATCTGCTCATTCCTTAATATTTACATTTTAAAATAATGGTGAAGTAATGCAAATTCTGAAATAACACGCATAGAAATGATGTCGTGATGAAAACGTGACGCAAATGAAAACTCTTACAGCTGAGCAGTTTATTTTTCTAGATCTCAGCTCGGATCTCTCTGGAGAGGTGCATCATGGGATGCTTTTAAACACTAGCGTGTGTGATGAACGCTTCATGATGCTTCTGCTTCACTATACATGTAAAAGCATAAAGTAATAAAAATATAAGTATTATATAATATAAGTATTATAAGTAATAAAAGAAAAAAATCTCTCTCTCTCTTTCAGCTTGCTCCCTTTACTTTAGTAGATATAATTTTGTATTTATATATAATTTTGTGTGTGTGTGTATATATATATATTCTAACTGAAACTGTAGCTTCCTGCCCTGCTGTACCAACTGATTAGAGATGCTAATAAACACACATAGAATGATGAAAGATCGCCCACAACACAATCCTCCACGCTGCTTTAACACCACGGCTATTTTTACACTCGAGTGCACTTAAAAGTTCAGCTTTGACTCGAGTGCCAACACATATTTAGTTTGCATTAATCATGTTCAGAAAGAAACATACAAATGAAGGACATTTATGATAAAAAGCAACAATATTAGTCGTGCAACAAAACTAAAATAGTGCAAATCAGCAATATTTCATGCATTTTTAACTTCTTGAAAGCCTATGAACATGGTTGCGTCACAAAAACACTGTAAAAGGTGATTCTACTGTAGTGTAGCATTTACTACTGTTTATGGTAAACAAAAAAAACTACTAATAAAAATGATCATTTTAAACATGTTTAGAGCTTGTAAACAGTGTAGCAATGATCTGATAATAATTTTTTTTTTTAATAATATACACACCAGTGTTATTTTTACACTCGAAGTACACTTAAAAGTTAATCCTAATACTTTTACACAACAAATATTTTAATTGCATTCATTTGATAGTTTATATTGACATGTATTAATTTAGCAGACACATAAAGAAACTTACAAAAGAAGAAAAAATATTTATGATGAAACGGCAACAATATTAGTGGTGCAACAAAACCAAAATAGTACAAATCAGCAATATTTCATGCATTTTTATCTTCTTGAAAGCCTATGAACATGGTTGCATCACAAAAACACATCACATTTTTGTGATGTAAGTGTGTTGCATTTATGGGAAACAAAAATACTACTAATAAAAAAATTATAATTTTAAACCTGTTTAGAGCTTGTAAACAGTGTAGCAATGATCTGATAATAAAAAATATTTAATAATATACGCCAGTGTTATTTTTACACTTAAAAGTTGAACTCCTAATACTTTTACACAAGTGCCAACAAATATTTTAATTGCATTAATTTGATAGTTTACATTTACATTTATTCGTTTAGCAGACACATAAAGAAACTTACAAAAGAAGGAGAATATTTATGATTAAACAGCAACAATATTAGTGGTGCAACAAAACCAGAATAGTACACAAAGCAGCAATATGTAATGTATAATCCACAGCTGCGTCACAAAAACACTGCAAAAGTGATTCTATGTTGCATTTACGGCCGTTTATGGTAAACAAAAAATACTGCTAATAGTAATCATCATTTTAGACCTGTTTAGAGGTTGTTAAATGATGATTCATAACAAAAGTGCATTGATGATTAAATGTCATATTACTAGTATGGGATTTTCTTTAATGTCCAGTTTCACGATGTGAAAGCGCTTGCTCTCGATTCCGCTTCGCCCACAGATATGCGCAGTCATATGTTTCTTGATGAATACAAAAGATGAAAAGACAAAATAGGTTATACGGCGTTTGTGTATTAAACAAACACGTCACGTCAAGCCAAGTGAACGCTGAAACAAAGAAAAAGTGTCTGGTGCGTTCGCATAATCTGCCGTCCTAACAGCTTAGTTTCTCATGCGCTCCTCACCCAAAAATACTGCACACCCCAATTCCCATTCGGGAAAATTATATTGCCGTGAGTCTGCGGCTGCCAATCCATTCAAGTATATTTATAAATGTATAAAAGCCAGCTGATGTGAATCACAGCCTGTTCTCTGTTTAATCAAGTTCGTGTTGCACATTTGTGACTTTTTACAGGATTTAAGCGATTAGGCCGAATCACAATTCAAACATTAAACACACATCTGTCTGTGTGTGTGTGTGTGTGTGTGTGTGTGCATGAGAATTACTTCTTATATCTAATGCTACAAGAATCATTTTAAAAGCCTTTGCTGACATGAATTGAATGTTCACTTGTTTGCTTTAAAAACATGTTCTCTTTCTGAGAACTTCACACTTGTCGTGCTTTTTCATCTGTTCCGTTTAATGTTAACTGTTTTTTTTTTTTTCACAAGATCTTAATCTTAACCCTTTGCCTGACATTTAAGGTTAAAACTGTTTGTCAGCTTATATTAAATTCCTGCAAGTCTTTTCATGCTGGTTACATGAAGGTTAAATATTATTTTTAGATTTTTTTATTTTACAATCATTTAAATAATATTCTTTTTTCCAGAATAATAAATGGATGTATAAATTAATAAAATGCTTAATAGATGCTGTGGTAACCACATACTGTTTCATATATTTAGAGAGAGTGAGAAAATCGCAGTATCCATACTTAGTATGCAATATTCAGTAAGTAGCATGCTAGGATTGCGTGAACTAAAGGGACATTAAAATGCTGTTTTAAAAACATTAAGTGTTTTTCTCACCCTAGAACGGGTCTCTACTACGTGCAAAAATTTAAAATACAGAAAAAAATAAATGTGAGGATGGCAATAATAAGATCAAGTTTAGTCCATTTCCGAACCATTTATGCAATGCATTTTTGTTGTGTATTTTGTTTATTGTAAAATCAATGCTTTCACATTAGACCGAATTAGATATTGAGCCGAGATAATAAAATATTATTATTTCCAAATTAACAAATTAATATATAAATGGATAAATAAATACTGTGTTAAAAACTCCGAGACATTTTTGCAATGCATTTTTATTTATTTATTGCAAAATCACTGCTTTCACATTAGACAGCATTAGATATTGAACAGAAATAATGAAGTTATATTATTTCCAAGTTAATAAATGAATATATAATAATTGATTATTATTGTAGAAACACTTATAAATTTGTGAATGTCATTAATTCGATCAAGTGTGATCAATTACCAAGCTATTTTTGCGATGCAATTTTATATTTATTGTAAAATCACTGCTTTCACATTAGACATGATTAGATATTGAGCCGAGATAATAAAATATTATTTCCAAATTAATAAATTAATATATAAACTGATAAATAATAACTATGTTAACACTCTGAGACATTTTTGCGATGCATTTATTTATTTATATATATATATATTTTTTGTAAAAGCAATGCTTTCACATTAGACAGCATTAGATATTGAGCAGAGTTAATAAATGAATATATGAATTGATAATGGAAACATTTATAAATCTGTGAATGTCATTCATTAGGTCAAGTATGATCAATTTCTGAGCTATTTTTGCCATTGTAACATCAGTGCTAATGTGGTGCTTTCTCAGGTGAGCCGGAGCGCTGTCTGGGCTCTGAGGGCGAGGATGAGGGCAGCGTTTGGGGGATGGAGGTTCTGGACAGCAGAGATGCTCAGGATAAAGTCAGTCTGACGCCCAGCGAGGGCACGGAGCCCGGCAGTCCCGTCCCGTGTGCGGAGAGCTGGGCCGACACCGAAACCACACCGCTGAAAATCACAGCCGCAGACCCTGAACACTGTAAGTCACACCTGCCTCTTCACGAAAAAACTCCAGTTAAAACCAAAACAGGATTTTACAGGAGAATCCTTTTTATACTCCAGAATAAAACATCTGAAGAACTTGTAATGAAACATCAAGAACAATTTTAACAGCGAAGCTGTATGTAGTACACTATACAGTGTACTTTGTACATCCAGTCACCATTGTAGTATGCTACATTGTTGTCACATGACCTCAACATTAAAGAATATCCAGCCATCATTACATATATATATATAGAGAGAGAGAGAATGGCAACAATGTAGCATACTACAATCTGAAATGTTTACTGCCTTATGTTACTTCTAGAAAATAATACTTGTATACATTATCGAAAAAAAAAAAAAACGTAAAATATCTATTAAAAAAAATAAATGAATGAAATGTATTTATTTATTTATTTTTTAAGAATGGCATGAAGTGTTTTTCTCATCCTTGAACTGGTCTGTACTAAGTACAAAAAATAAAAGTAAAAGGGGTTATGTGACAACAATGTAGCATACTACTGTCTGAAAGTGTTGCATACTGAATACTGTTTCTCATATTATTTTTAGGATAGAAAATCGCAGTATGTATACTTAGTATGCAGAATTTGGTATGTAGTATGCTAGGATTCTGAGCAAAGTGACCTAAAGTGATATTAAAACCTAGTTTTTAGTGTTTTTCTCACCCTTGAACTGGTCTGTAATAAGTACAAAAATTTAAAAATGCAAAATAAAAAGTATTTTTTAATAATGATGACTGGATGCTACTCTCATTTTGAAGTCATGTGACAACAATGTTGCACAATGCTGTTGCATACTGTTTCACATATTTTTTGTCATAAAATAGCAGTATGCATACTTAGTGTGCAGTATTCAGTAAGTAATATACTAGGATTTCATTCTAAAGCCTAAATTGACATTGACCTAAAGTGACATTAAAACCCTTTTTTTTCTCACCCTAAAACTGGTCCATACTAAGTGCATAAATTTAAAATGCAAAATAAAAATAAATGTATATTAATAATGAACGGATGTTATTCTCACATTGAGGTCATGTACTGTTTCACATATTATTTGTCAGTAAATAGCAGTATGTATACTTAGTGTGCAGTATTCAGTAAGTAGTATGCTAGGATTGCATTCTGAACAAAGGGACCTAAAAGTGACATTAAAACCTTAAAAAGTGTTTTTCTCATCCTTGTACTGGTCCATACTAAGTACAAAAATAAAAAAATGCAAAATAAAAACAAAAACAAAAAAAAGTTTGTGACAACAATGTAGCACAATTCTGTTGAATACTTCATACTGTTTCACACATATTTTTGTCAGAAAATAGCAGTATGCATACTTAGTGTGCAGCATTCAGTAAGTAGTATGCTAGGATTTCATTCTGAACAGCCTAAAATGACATTATAACCCAGTTTTTTTTCTCACCCTAGAACTGGTCCATATTAAGTACAAAAATTAAAAATGTAATGTAAAATGTAGAAATAAATGTATTTCAATAATAGCGACTAGATATTGCGGTCATGTACTGTTTCACGTTATTATCAGAAAATAGCATTATGCATACTTAGTGTGCAATATTCAGTAACTAGTATGCTAGGATTGCATTCTGAACAAATGGGCCTAAAGTGACATTAAAACCATAAAAAAAAGTTTTTTCACCCTTGAACTGGTCCGTACTAAGTACAAAAATTAAAAATGCGAAATTAAAGAAACATTTTTTTTATAATAATGATGACTTGATGCTACTTTCATGTTGAGGTCATGTGACGACAATGTAGCACAATACTGTTGAATACAGTTTGATATATTTTTGTCAGAAAATAGCAGTATGCATACTTAGTGAGCAGTATTCAATATGTAGTATGCTGGGATTTCATTCTGAACAGCCTAAAGTGCCATTAAAACCCAGTTTTAGTGTTTTTCTCACCCTTTCAGGGTTCTGCATATGTAGAATTCAGCATTTTGAACTTTGATGTAATCAGGAAGTTTTGAAACTGTGCCAAAGATGAGTGAGCGGCCTACATTCATGTCAGCTTCACACAATACAGACGTGACGCATTTAAGAGAAATTATCAGCATGAATGTAATGAGTCTGATCTCACTTGAGAAAGCGTTTTCAGTCAAAACTGCTGCGCTCATCAAGCCTCGTAATATTTCCTCACATCAAACGAGGTGATGGTCCTCCTCCAAAAATCAAAACTGAGTGTGTGAGCGTTTCCTTTTGTTCGGCGGAGATCAAACGCGCAGGGTTCGCCTACAACAGACTATTTACGGCGCTGAGGCGCGCGGACTCTTCCACGGCCACATGAGAGAGCTGGAAAGCCCATGCCAACATCTGCAAACATTTGAGAACCCGTCCTGAGTCGCAGCGCAGTGCTGGCATCCCTCCTCGCTCACTTCTGCTTGTATTTTAGTCTTATTGGTTTCAAGGGAGGATTACTGCAACATTCGAGCCATTTTCTCTTCAAGCTGAAGCATCCTTTAGATTTCATTAACGAGAATCACACAGCATCACAAACACGCAACATCTGTAATCTAAATGAATGTCAGCAGGCTAAGAACTATAATAAAGTTAAACAGCATTTACATATTTACTTAAAAACTTGATATTTATTTTATGTTTACACTTACACATTTTTACATTTTAATCTGGAATAAACAGCAGCTCAGAAAACGTTATTAGTTGAAAATGTTTTAATTATTTTTTAATTCTTTGCTTTTATTGTTATTTTATGTTTTATGTTTGTTGTGATTATTTTATGATTATTTTAAATATAAAAAATATAATATTTATATATATATATATATATATATATTAACTTTTTTTTTGCAATGTTGTTTTTATTTACATACTCCATGATAATCCCAAGATTTTTGATTATTATTATCATGTGTATTATTTATTTATTTATTTAATTTAACATGCCGTAGCTTTATTTGTTTGTTTGTTGTTTTGTTGTTAGTATCATTATTATTATATTTTTGCATTTAACATACCATAGAGTTTTTATTTTTTTCTTGTTTTGTTATGTATTTATTATTATTATTATTATTATTATTATTATTA